ACGACATGCAGCTGTTGCCCGGAGCGAATGGAGATCTCCCAGAGTCAGGAGTCTACCCTGCCCGGCTTTCTGCAGATCTTGATGCAGCACGCTAGGAAGAGTGACGCGTGGCCGGCCAAGCCATCTGCTGCTGTTGTTTGCGAAAAAGATTTCCATTGCCAATACTGCGGGGGTTGATGGTGGCAGCCGCAAGATGTGACCAAATAAACGCCACCTGGCATGGCGTACGAAGATGCTGATCTCCTCCATTTGGCACCTCCGGTACAGAGCTTCATTGGAGATGCGCTGTGGCCATTTGATGCCAAGGAGAGACCGCAACTGACGTCAGTGGGAGGCATCCAACTTCTGGAGTGCAGATTGCGTGAGGCCCCAAGTGCCACACTTGTACGTTAGGACTGGTAGGACGAACGTGGAGTACAGTCCCAGGCGCAGACGCTCACTCACCCCCGACCCGATGACATAGATACATAAACATAAAAGTGGAGTAGGTGCTACAGCTGATCATTTTATCGCAGATTGTGGGACTAAACTAATACCAGTATGCAAGTACACAATAAGTAAAAGCTGAATATATACGACTGCATGAAATTGGCATGTGTCGCCTCGCGGGCCATGGTCAGTGTATGTAGAAAAGACTCCCACCACGGTCAAGTTAGACGCCGATGCTGTACTAGCTCCGGTAATGGAGTCTATAAAACCAACTGTTCTTGTCGCGGAGAACAACGTCTGTGCATAAACTGCACTCCCACTCCGGGAATGTAAATGTAAATGTTCAAACCATATGGTACGACGGTACGACAGCACGCAAAGCGGGTACTACAACAACTTTGACAGCTCAACCGCCATCGATCCCAGACCCAACCACTTGCAACCGCCGCCGACAGCGCCCGTACCCGTACGGCGTATTTATTATTTATTTATTTTATTCCAAGGAATACATGGCTGGGGTAGCAAATGACCACTTTGCGTGGCGATTGCAGGGTTTGTATAGCCAACCACGGCTAATACTGTCAGTAACCGAACCAGAGGCCGAACCTACAGCCTTGCGAGATGGACTGCCCGATCAGGATGAGCACCAGCAAGTCAACCCTGCAGTGGCTGCACCACCGCTAACACCGGTCACAGGCGATGAACCAGGCAGCGCCAGTCAATGCCAGGAATCCGATGTGCACTTGCTAGCCAACCTTGTAGGGTCACAGTCACAGAACGCCTATGGTGACGCGGGAGGCACACCAAATCACGACCTGCCACCCTGCACAAACGTGATGAGTCGGCATTGCACTGCACTCTACAAGAGGATTACCTGCCTGCTTGCTGATAAAACCAGCGAGCCTTACAGCACCGTCGTGGCATGGGTCCGCAGTAGACTCAGCTGTGCTCTTCTCCGCGCTAGTGTGATGTGCCTCCGTGGATCCCGCACTCTTCGAGCCCCCCATTGGCTCCAACTCTCCTGCCTGGCTTGTTGCAGCTGAGGCAGTAATCCCAGGTCACTGATCATTTACTTTTGTTGTTCTAAGTGCCAGGTTGTTTGTTTGTTATGATTTACATGTATACTTGGTATATCACACGATTTTTGTAATCCCTCCATATTACCCTACACAAACGCACCACATCTGGCGTTTATTCTGGGGCCCATGGACAGGGTTCCCACCGCTGAAGCAGTAGCCTCTGCCTACAGTGAAGCTGTTCACTTTTCCCCCGACACCTTTGATGTTCCAAGTGCTCGGTGGGTAAAATCTTTGATGTTGCCAGTGGCTCGGTGGGTAAAACCTTTGATGTTGCCAGTGGATCGGTGGGTAAAACGTTTATCAACCTACTGTATAGCAGTACTTGGAGTGGTCCAGTAATGCAGCTCATTGCTCCCTGCGAGGGTCCGCCACTGAAAGTTGCCATGTTGTATCAGCAACTTCTTCTGCAGAAGCCATACAAGGCACCAGATTCATCATTTGTAAAGTGCTTGCAGAAGCGGATCGAATCCTGGGATAGAGGTCAGATCCTGGATCTGTTGAAAGAGTGTCGTACCATCCAGACCCAGCTTGGGAAGCATCACTCCCGAACTCAGCTCACCACAGACCACAATGTAGACGGCAAGTTTGCTGACCTCGTCACAAACGGCAAACTGAGCTCCGCGTTGCGTTTGCTAGACCCAGACTCCAATAGTCCACCCATGCACCTGGATGATCGAGTGGGAGACTCAACTATCCTTGATGCACTCAAGGACAAGCACCCCCAGCAAGAGCCATTGCTCGACGACACCGTGATTAAAGGGGAACTACACCCAAAAATCAAAACTTCATGGGCCGTAGAGTTTTGGACGCCGAGTCGAATGGTGAAGGTCCCACTTCGATCCGACCAAGCGTTCCTGAGATATCTTCGGTTTAAATTGTACTTTCGGGGGACGCGCAATGACGTCATGCGGGCGCGACACCCCCCAAAACGCCTTTTTACGTCATTGAGACTAGCCTAGCCTGCTTGGGCCAAGCTCAGAAGTACAAGTATTTTGGTATGTGAAAGGAATAGTTCTGACAAAGACGTCCTCACCACGAGCGATTCCGACCTATCAGACGAGCTTGAAAGCTCAGAGCCTGAGCTGAAAGTGTTTGGCTTATGGCATGAGCCGAAATATTCAGGAAAGGATATGGCAGCGCAAGCGGTGGCTTCCATTCGGGCTGTAAATGTGGATGAAGCAGAAATGACTGCAATTGGAGAAGTCGCTCTCCATCAATCCGTAAGTGTTTTCACAGTATTGTCCTACGTAATGCTCACAAATCGAATCGTTCTCTTCATATCGTACATTGTGTGAAATTTTGTATTCGCACAGTACTCAGATCAATAGTCTCCTCACTCGTACTCCTGTACATGGAGTTTGCTGCGTAACATGGCTAGTATTATCTCCGTGCAAGTCGTGCAATGTGTATCGGTTCACTTGTGCTTTATCTCACATAAGTGGACTGCACCTCAATTCGTATTGTGGCGAAATACATTCTCACCTTTTGCATTATCACTTAGTCTTTACAGAATGCTCAGACGTTCTCTTGTAATTTCACGTAGCTGTGTACCAACAATTACGCTGTCCACTCTAGCAGCAGCAGCAGCAACAGCACAGTAGCATATTGAGTGCGTTTTGCCCTACTGTGGTGTCTCATGACTGCATCACAGGAACAGCTCTTTGTCCTTCTTGATTATCATTCTAAAATGTGTGCACATATCCGCCTGCGCACCACACATACGCACGCACATGTGCTCACCTTCGTGGGCACATAGTATAGTAGTCACACATGCTCACGCACGCAGACACGCAATTTCACAAGCGCGTGCGCACACGAGTGCATAAGCATACAAGTGCCAGTGCACATGCTCGTGCACGCACACTTGTGCGCACTCATGCACTTGGTTGCACACGCACACATCCCTCAGGATCACTAACACACTCATGCACTTGGTTGCACACGCACACATCCCTCAGGAACACTAACGGCAATGCATCTACTATTTGTCGTTCCATGTCCCTCCTGGGGAAGGGAGAGTGAATGACATACCGGTAAAGAAGAACACAGAATAGATGGCGTGAATATCTTTGGAGTTATATTACGTTACACGAAAGCACACGCATGTGTGCGCCTGCGCGCGCACACACACTTATGCGCGTGCGCGCACACACACACTCACACAAGTGCGCGCACACACACACTCACGCGCGTGCACGCACATACAATTATAATAATGTCTGTCTCTCACGCGCGTGCGCGCAAACACACTCATGTGCGCGCACACTCACGCACGGGCGCGCGCACACACTCACGCGCGTGCGCGCGCACACACACTCACGCGCGTGCGCGCGCCCACACACACTCACGCGCGTGCACGCATACACACAATAATAATAATGTCTGGCTCTCATCTGCATCCATACTGAGAAAGCGCAACGAGTTCCTGAATATAGGTACACTGGTGCTGGTATGTGGACTATCTTCTCTCCTTGAACTGCAGGTCATTGCGTGATGTAGCTTATCAGCAATACATACTGTCTGTTCATAAAGGAAAAAAACATGCCAGCTAGAGGCGCTGGCGCTGCAAACAGTCCTTCCTATAACCTTTGCGCGGTGTCACCGCTCTTTCCATGCCACCACTTGCCGACAGCACAACAGGCATGAATGTCGCATCGTCCACCTCTCTCACTCTCTCTTAATAGCATCGTCTCTTTTCTTTTTCATGGCGCCGAGGGACACTGTCAATGGTGTACCCATGCGACACTCAGCGGAACCTCTGCTGACCCGGCTGGGAGTTTAACAGGTGTCAGAGCACTTCCACCAAAACACCTTAGCTCTTGTGCGAACGAGCCTACATGGTGAGACATGGAAGTCCGTCAAGCGACTAATGACTCCACAAATGACCAGAGAAACCCGCCTTCAACAGCAGGACGGACTCAGTCTTCCAGTTGCAGGAACGCTGGCAAATCGATGTATGCCTTCAACGCTACAAGTATATGGAAAAGATTACGTGGTGACGTCTGCTTCAGCACAACATTGGTGACCTTCAAAACTGCAGCAGTACCTTATGTAATTGGTCATCGACTGTGCCTGTTGAATTCCTTGCCAAATACCTGAAACAGTAGCAAATGCCATGTTTGACAATGGATCCGTACTATTGATCTTCAGCTGACTATCATTTCCAGTGCATACACACTTTTCTCTCTATCTTTTTTTCTTCCCTCTTCGCCACCTTGTCCATGGGATGAATTCCCGTTTGGATTTTACGAAGCAAAACAAAGTAAAAAAAAAAAAGAAAAATGGCGAGAACCCAAAGTGAGAGAATGGGAGTGAGAGGAGTGGGTATAACTAAGCGAGTAAGGGTGAGGTGTAACGCCCTGTTACAATATCTTTATTAATTTGTAGTTGAGAGACTGTTCTGGAACAGATGTATTGCAAAATATTGTTGTTTTGCAGCAGGTTTAAGTCTTGCGGTTGTGTTTTCTTTGCACATTTGCATAATATATCTAGGCACATTTAATCAACCATCAAACCCACTAGGTGGAGCCTTTTCAACAAATAGCGTCTCGACCAACGGCAAGGGTTTGACCATAAACTGCACAACCGACTTCCTTCTTAATCACGATTCCATAAGTTCAACAATGGCGTGTCTATCTACAAAAACCTGGACAACGCTTCGTGCTACGCCATGTTTACGTAAGTTAACCCTGGAACTACCAATTTTCAGCTACTCTAGAATTACCGGAGGCATTATAATGACTCCACCGGCCAAAAACATACCTGCTTGGTGTTCTCTTTTGCAATTGTGTAGACACGGAAGTCATTGTGTTAAGGGGATACCTTTTAACTTCAGGTGGCTGGGGCGGTACAACTTTTTAGGGGTCATTTTGATCACATTTTGACTGCATTTTTGAGTTTATCGGCAAGGTGGAGATGAAATTTGAAAATGTTTTCTGGTGAATCTCTGGAGAAGAGCCTTCTCTAGCCTCCTATAGTTTTAATTTTACTTTTGGACACAATTTGCAAAAGTTTTATGAAAGGTCCGTGAAAAAATAACACGAACCTTTCATAAAACGTTTTCAAATTTTGTCCAAAAGTAAAAATAAAACTATAGGAAGCTAGAGAAGGCTATTCTCCAGAGATTCACCAGAAAACATTTCGAAATTTCATCTCTGCCTTGCCGATAAACTCAAAAATGCAGTCAAAATTTTCCCAAAAAAGTTGTACCGCCCCTGCCAACAATTACAGGTGCACTAACTTGGAGACCAGCAGCTGACATTGCGGTCAGCGAAAGGGCGACCTCTTGTCGGTTTACGGAAAAACGAGAGCGCTTTTAAACTCAGGTCCCTTTGCTATGCTTTTTTGCCTAGCTCATCATGCATGTTATTAGAACTGATAGAAATGTTTTTAAACTTTCTCTCTTTCATTCGAGGTTAATACGACACCGTCTACCACCTTGATTATGTTCAAAGATGAGTGAAAGTGAATTTGAAACTCTGATGTTGAACCTAAAATAAATTCAATGTAGAGATGAAAGGGACATATGGATACGAGTTAAGTGTAAATGTCTGAAACGAGATACTATAATAATATAAAATCAGAGCATGCAGCCACTAGGCACAACGATGACACGGACACCTTGCTACAGCACATTTCCGAAGCGCAAACCGGCAGCCATCCCACTCGAAAGGTTCTAGGTGAAGGAAAGACCAAAAAAGGAACGGTTAGCTAAACAAAAAGTGGGTACAAGCTAACATTCCATGGGAACAAAAATGCCAACTGTTAATTGACGGCGACCACACCAGTGAAAGACTGTATGGAACTACATATTTTGTAGCCAAGTAGACATGCATGGGGAGTACTGTAGTAGTTTGGCATTCGGTTTTTGTACAGTTCGTTTTCGCAAAGGTCTCCCAACCTTAAATATCTTTGATATTACCAAGACACCCTAGTTGGGTGGTATGCAGCTTTGTTGCTTCGACTTGTGGTTATACCGCTTTGTCCAAAATATTGTGGCAGGAATAGGGAGAAACAGTTACAGGGCAGTAAGACCAGTCGATCATTCAATCAAGATTTTAGTCCCCACGTGTTGCAGTGTAACGAGTACCCCAATTTCATTTTATCTACTGTAAATGATTATTTGTTATATTTAGTTCCTCCTCAAATCTCAACGGCACCAAATAATGTGGCATTGGTCGAAGGATCGTCCTATTCATCATTTACCTGCACTTCATACGGATACCCTAGTCCAAACATAGAATGGTACCATGATGGTGTTCAGCTTCCACACACTCAGATCAATACAACTATGACCTCGTCTGGAAATAGAACTTCTCCAGCATCTTACACCAGCATACTACCTTTGACAAATGTGAAATATGCTGACCGTGGGCACTACACATGTGTGAGCAGTGTGAGCAATACTGGATTTGATGGCACCAGTCACATGACACGTACTGTCAATGCAACCGCAACCTTATCTATCTTGGGTAAGCGCATATTTTTGTACAGTAAATATTTTCAGTGGTGTCTACAGTAACTACATTTCAGTGTTACAATAAAGTAGAGGAAGAAGCACATATGCAAAGTGCAATATAACGCGGCTTCTATGGCGGTTACTGTTCTATGACTTGGAACTACTTGAAGTAATTGTAGTGACAGTTATTGAATACATAAAAGTGCGGTCGTAACATCGACAGATACTGTGTACTGAACCACAGAGTTAAGAGAATACCATTAAGCACGACTCCATGTCCCATACGTAAAGAATGAATAAACTGATGGTGAATGTTTAAAGAAGAAACACCCACTAGCTTGACCAATGTTACTCTACAGCAACCACACAGCAAATGCGCTCTCCTGCAGAAATCAACGCATTCTATGCGTAAAATGATCTGGTTACGTTGTTGTACAGTTATTAGTCATAAGTCGCAACGTTGGGTCCAGAGACCTCGGAGGGCAACAGCAAACTACTCCACAGAGATTTAGGCCAGAAATTGCCAAGGACCGCGCGTTGTGGACGGTACCAACAGGAGGAGGGTCGAGCAGTATTATGAGTCAGTGAGTGAAGCGGATCTGGAGGAACAACTCCGCTCAAGGGACGAGCAGCTAGCAAATGGGAGACACGTGGTCTGTACAGAAACGGAGGATGAGACAGATAATCAGAGGATGGAAGAGGAATTGGATGACGAAACGGTTGGTGAAGAGACAGAGGAAAAGGCAGATGATGGTAGTGATGATGATCGGGAGGATAACAAGCGGAGCAAGGAAGAGGACGATGAGATGGACGAGGAGGAGTCGGGTGGGAAGGGGCGAGATGAGGCGGATGAATGTGTTGATCGTAAGAAGTCGGCTGTGTATCTACACTTGTTATCTCGTCCTGACTGTCTTGGTGTATATGATGACTCTCATTTTTCTTTTCTGAGTCGTGCGCGTTATGTCCAACAGTTGAAAGTCCTTGAGGCAGTTTGTATACGTATCCATTAGCCTGTTTTGTGTAAGCAGAAAGAGCACGTTGTTGCACTGAGGTTGTATTCGAAGGTTGACACTTCGTTCAGTGCCTTCTCACCTTTGGTTACGTAATCTTGTTACCTTTTTGCGTTTCCTTTAGTGGTTTTATTGCACTTGTATCTTGATGTTATTTCTAACCCCTTTCTATTTACAGTACTTAACTTCAGTTTCTGTGGTTGTATCCTTTAGTTCCGTAATTTTTCCCACTGATGATAGGAACGACAAAATCGATTCTGGGTTTCAATAATATTTTTGTTATAAAATAGACAGTTAAACATGTCAAACAAGTAACGTGGTTGCGTGTGTCTGTGGCCGTCATCCTATTTATAGCTATAATAAATAGCCGATATGGTCCTGGCAAGTGGGCCCTTGAACTTTTGAGAAATGGAGGCCAAGACTATTGCAACCGCATTGACTAACTTGATATAGTACCCAAAAGAAGAAAAAAAGCGCCATATAACTCGCAAGTTCGCCCAAACACGGCAAGGTTGGCAATTTAGCTGAAACATCGGGCGAAAAAGAAGATAGGAAAAGACGCAGCATATAACAAACCTGGATTCGTACCCACTACCTCTCGCACATTACGCAGGGACTATACCAATTGGCCAGGAACGACTACACACAAAAGATCTAACCTCGAAAGTGCTTATTTATACCATGACGCATATATACGTCATTAGTGGGCGGGGGTCATTAACAATGACGTATATATACGCCATTAGCGGCAAAAGGGCTCTCTATTCGAATGAAGGGATTACGGTTACTTCCAGTATTGCGACTGATAATATTCCTTTTCACAGTTCTTTCGACTGCAAAAGGCTGATCAGAGAAGGTGATACTGAATAATATAATTGTAATTTACATAAAATAGAAGAAGCAATTACATGTGAACGAGTTATGCAGCAACTATCCACGAATGCAACAAGATGATAAACAGTCAGAACGTGCGATAACAAGGCACAAAACTGACAGGTTACTGAGAAATTAAACGACCTAATAAATAGCTCCAGCACATCTCCAGTGTGCAAACCAAGAGCCTTCCAACCTGGAAGGTTCAAGGTTGGGAAGGACCAAAGAGGGGAAGGTGAGCACACCAGAAATGGGCCCAAGCAAAGTCCAACGGCAACAAAGAATGCCGACTGGTACACGACGATGACGCGACCAGTTAAAACCATGACATTGCTGTCTTACTACAATTCGAAGCAGCAAAGCAACACACCATCCAACTTGGGTGGGTCAGCAATATCAGACATAAAGGAAGGGAGGAAGCTTTTCAAAAATGATTTGTACAAAACCGGACGCCAAAATCAAACGATACTCCTCATGCCTGACACTATTGTGGACGAGTTGAATAAGATAACAAGTAGTTTCACACGACGTACGCCGAAGTTTGGCCATATTGTTAGTGACGGCTCATGAGGTGTGCAAAATTGACATGCGATTTCTTCTTCTATTTAAAATATAAACTGGCTCATTATCCGAGTTCAGAAAGTGGTGGACATCACACAACCGCATTGTAAAAAAGGGGGGTTTGTCTACTGACAACCAGTCCATTTAGTTCCTATTCACTTTTGGCGCATGCACTGGATGAAAATTCTTTTATTGCCGTTGCTATGCAAAAGACGGTACTTCAGTAACGTCTGGCGCTAGCCAGGGTCCACACAGCTTTAATTTGGTGTTTATTTATTTGTACAAAAGAGAAAGGACCAAGGAACTACAAGTTACGCTATACTGTCCACTAACACCACCAGTTACTAAACAATCAGCTCATGCGATAACATTGCACGACACTGACCGACGGTACTGACGTTCTACAACTAACTGGCTAACAGCTCTAGCACATCTTAGATGCGCACTCCAACAGCCTTCCAACTTGGAAGGTTCTAAGTTATAGAAATAACATAAGGACGGGAAGGTGAGCGCAACCAAGATAAGCACGAGCTGAAAGTCTCAGCTGTGAAGGACCCAGTTGGGGATGCCGTCGGGACCAGTTGCCCTGCACGACGGAAGCTTCTTCAGATGACGCCGGACAGTGGCAGTTGTGGTGATGACGGACGTGAAACAAGCAGAGGGCTCCGAGGGGGTGATAATAGGGGGAATAGAGAGCAACGGGTCATCTGGCCGAGTCACAGAGGCAAACTGGGCGTATAATGCGGTCGCTTTGGCCAAAGGGTCAGCCGGCTGCTGAGTCCCTGTGGTGAGTGACAGAATTTCGCGTGATACGTTTCGAATTCTTGCTTGTCTCACAAACTGGTGAAGCGATGGACGGTGTCTACCCTGCAAAGTAGTTTGCACTGAGCGGATATAAGCTCTGTACTTTGTCCGCGTCAGGGTTTTCACTATATTTCGCTGCTGTTGGTATGCTTGTTTGCTTTGTTGTGTTGGGTACTTCTTAAAAATGCTATAGAGATCATATTTCCACTTGATTGCTGTGCGGAGATGCGCATCAACCCAGGGTGGCTGACTGGGCCGTGTGCAGCGGTGAGAATATGGCTGCTTTCCGAATAGCCAGAGGTGCTTCTCAAGGGCACTGTTGAGAATGGAAGAAAAGTGCGAAAGCGCATCATTGACGTTGCTGGCACGTAGATGCCAGCTCCAGTCAATATCAGCGAGCTCTGAATTCACACTATCCCAGACGGAAGATGGCACGGATTTAAAGTGATATTCCGGCTTTGCAGGAACATTCCTGAAGTGGTATTGGGGTGCAGCAGCGGGATGTCCGTTTCCAGCACGTTCCTCACGGTGAACAGCGTCAGTAGGCAGTAGGAAGTGACTGAGGATCTGTGCGTGGTCAGATGCACCAAGAGGAGCAAGAGATGCAACAGAGAGTAGTAGGTGAGGATGATCCGTGAGCACAACGTCAATACACGATGTTGAGCCATGGGGGTAAAGTGTGTGGGGAATGTCACCATTTGCTCAAGGCCAAAACAAGAGAAGAGGTTACAGAACTCCCTTCCAGCACGATTCGTGGTGTCTCTAGGAGACCAGTCAGAGTGGCGAGCATTCAAGTCTGCTGCAAGTACAATCGCAGAATTAGGGAGGCTAATGTTGGACAGACAGTCCTCTAGGAGGTCACTAACGTTAAATGCCTGGATTTGGGAAATGCTGTCTCCAGGGGGTCTTTAAACAGAGCAGATGATGAGGGGGAGTGACGGAAGGATCACTGGCCGCAATTCGAGCCAAACCGCCTCCAGTCCATAGCGCTCAAGTTCGAAGTGGCGCTTGATGGACATGGACGACCTGTCAGCTACAAGAGTAGCAACACCGCCATAGCCTCTTGCTGGCAGGTTATCAGAGCTGGTCGTAGGTGGGCGGTCCATGCGGAATGACGTGTAGCCTGGAAATGAGACGTCTATGGCAGCTGTCAGCCACGTTTCACATAGGCAGATTATGCCTGGACAATACTGCTCACAGACTTGACTAAGCTCAGGTAACTTATTTACTACGGAGTGGCAGTTAAGTGAGAGCACTGAGAAGGATGAAGGTAATTGGGCAGGTTGATTAGTACTTTTAGTAGTTTGTCGTCCAGAATCAGGAAGGAATGGTGGTGCAAGTGGAATATGAATAGATATAGATATAGAATTCGAAGCAGCAAAGCAACACAGATATAGAAGAATATGTAAAGCAATGAGGGGAGGGGTGTGATTAACTTGCGTGGGGCAAAAAGGGGTGGGCAAGAGGATTTAGCTGTTGGCTAGGTGACCGAGGACTTTATAAACCATGTAGCGCTCAATGTGCACCAAATAACATGTTAAATGATAATAAAGCCGAGTGACAAAAACAAGAAATCATAACAAAAGAATCAAACTAATAATAAGAAAGATAAAAATAATGTAGAAGAGAAAAGGACATATGCATACGAGTTAAGAGTAACTCTCCATCACTGTGACATTATACTATATACAGTCAGAAAGTGCAATAACTAGGCACAAAACTGACAGAGTACTGAGACATTCGACGTTCTGACACCTAGCTTCAA